CACTGTTAAAGGACAAGTTGGGCCCATGGGCTAGGAACCATTAAGTGTAAAATCTGGGCCTGGTAGTTAAAGAATAAGACCAAAAATAAGACCAAAAAGACTGGGGCCACACTGGCACTGGGTCAAATGAGGCTGCTGAATGACTGAGAGAATGGCTTTTCACTTGTGTTGGTAGGAAGAACTTAGGGGACTACAGCATTTTTGCTTCATGCAGGCTATTGCCAGACAAGGAAGGATAAGAAGGCTTCAAATGGAAGGCAAGTTGAGAGGAGAGGGGCTGTGGCCACCAAAGGCTCAGGTAACTAGGCCACATCCAAGAGAGCAGCCCACTCTGCCACCTGCCTACCTATAACCCACAGGTTGGAGGGGAAGAGTCTGTTATGAGCCCTCCAGAACCCCCAACCTCGAGTCCAAAAATGGTGCATGACATGTTTTTTAAAAAAGCAGCACTGATTTATTTTATCCTGGGCCCAGCAATACAGTGCAGTCGGAGTTTGCAAGAGCTGTGTGTCCCCCTCAAAACTTTCCAGACTTCTTGTAGAAAGCACAGTTTACAAAGTAAGGGGTTATGGGCATGGATCAGGAAATCTGCTAAGGAATGAGGAAGACCTTTGTTTTCCTTTGCAGAGGACAGAGAAGTCTAGCAGGAATTAACAATCCTTTGTCAACTTATTTTAGCACAACATCTGTTATTTGTAGAGGGCAGTAATGGTTAACATATCAATTAGGTCAGGTTCTCAGGGATGGCGGTGTTATAGGTACTTTGGTCATATAACTTAAGCATAACACAAACATAACAAAGCTCTTTTTGCTAGTGTACAGCAATAACTGCTTGATTATGCCATTCCACCAGCATACAAAGCAGGTAGCAAAAAGAGCCAGCTGGGGATAGAGAGTACATTCCTCTTTCTTGAGTTATACCATGACTTACAGTCAGTAATGGGATTAGAAACCAGTTCTCCTAATTCCCAACCCAGAGCCCTTTCTTCCTGATCCTATTGCCCACACTGGTCATTTTGCCTTTGTGGGGCTCAGAACAAGCCTTCTGGTAGAGATTATTTCATAGGAGACCCCAGGTCTTCTCTCAGCAGCCTCTGAGGGGACAGCCTGCTGGGTTCATTGCCAGACCATTGGCCCTCTCATCTGGTTATTGGCTCTTGCTGCTTCAGAGCTACAAGACAGCCCAAGCAGTCCATAGAGCAACCTGGTCCCTAAATGGCCTTCCAGGTATCTCCTCTGAATAGCAACGCCTGCTATGTGTGGATATGCCCAGAATCCTAACTCCCTTATCTCAAGCAGCTCCTTACAACAAACCCAATAACCTGGAGCAGCCTGATTAAGGCCCTGTTACCAAAGACCCTGGGATGGCAGCAGAGGTACTAGTGGGGACAAGTGTCCTAAGGCAAAGCAGGGTGCGGTGACCACCCCCCTCCACATTGCAAATGTCTACCTTGGAGAATGAATATTCTATTAGATGATGCCACAGGACCCTGCAGACTCATAGGCTGGAATATTTATGCTGACTGGCCTGAGGTGCAAAGCTAAGACTGTTTAGGGGACAGTTTGCTCAGTCCCACAGCTGTGTGATGGGGACCTGTGGCTGCCAACAGACCCTGCTATGGGCCTGGGTGAGACTGGAGTCTGTCCTTCGAGGGCAAGACACTGACTTCCCTGTCCAACAGCTCACTGGGTGGATTATGGGCTTTGACCCTGGGTAGCTCATCTCCTCAGGTTGCCAGACATACTCTGCACCCTCCCTTAGGGTGCAAGAAAAGCCAGGGTCTCCCTCTCTGGGGCTGGGCGGCTTGGGACATTTCCTACAGATATGAAGAGGTCTCTTTTAGCCTCTCACCATCAGCACCAGCCTCCTCCTGTGGCCTGATCAAACCTGCACAGTTCAACTTGGCAGACCTTTCCTGAGCACCCACCGTGAGCTCAACTGGCATGGCTGAGCCACATGTATTGTAATCCTAAATATTAAGTATGGTAATCCAAATATTGTAACCCCTTTTCTAGTCTTCCTCACAACCCAAGAAGTTATGTTTATAATCCCACTGAGACATTATTGGAATCCCAGCAAGTTAATTCCAGTCTACCACCTTCAGTGCAGCTCACAAGGAGAATAAAAAGCCACCAAGACATATTCAAAGATAAGGGCAGCCAAGGGCTCCTGAGTCCAATTCCTGTGAGGATGTCTGCAGGCCTCTCCCTGAATTTATTATCTTGTGAAGAAGGGGATGGCTTGATGAGTGACAGTGAGGATGGCAGAATCTATGTGAGGTAGGTAGTGAGAAAAGCATCTTTGCAAAATGCAGAGATAAGGATATGCAGAAGGATCAATTTGCATAATTCAATTAAGGTAGCAACTGAATTGTTTTTGTTGCTTCCAGTTTCTAATATGTAAACTTTTGTGCCCTGGGGAGTCATAGCCTCTTTGTCTCATTTCCAGGCTCATACGAAGCTGACATTCCTGGAGATGACTGGCTCTACCATCCCTCTGTGCTTATATATTTTAGAGAGAGCACTATGTGAGGAAGTAGGAGACTGTCTGATGGCTTTAGAGATTACATACCAGCACCTTGGCTAGCCTTATTTACAATGCTTAGAGCCAATTGAAGAGAGAAGGAAATACCATTGTCAGCTCTGTGCATATCAGTATAAGGAAATAAGTGTTGATATAAACAAAGTTGCAGCAGTTATTCTGCATTCAAGGGCAGTCACTCAAATAGTCTCCTACAACATGGATACCACAGAAACACTTCCAGCTCTGAAGAATTTCCACAGGTAGGGAAATGTACAACATACTCAGAGAATGGCAAAATCAGGACAGAACCTGATCAAACCAAGAGATCCTGCCATGTGATTCAAGAACAAATGACATGAGAGTGCACAACCATGAAAAGCAGGGAGGAAGAGTCAGAATTTAACCCAGGCCTCAGGAGCCACGTGGACTTTGATGTAGAGTGGTAGATGGGAGCAGGAAGCTGGAACAGGAGATTCCCAAAGGAGGGATTACCAATTTTTTCTGCACAGAGTCATTATCAGTTATTGTGCCAGGGACTGTGTCAAGAGGAGCTGCCGTTACCCACAGGGAGGACTGGACAGGAGGTAATAGCCACAGGGGACTTTGGGGAATCAGATGCAGCCTTGGTGTATATCCTGTAGGCTGGGAAATACACTGGAGGACGAGTCAGCACTCCACAGCTGTCACCACTGCTTAACCTAACTTCAGTCTGAAGGTACCAGAAAGCTGTTTTAAGGGTTTTGGTTAGAGACTAATGGATATCTCGGAAGGAAAGAGTACTGATGGCATCACTTTTGGGGGTCAGGGTCCTCAGTGTCACTGTTCTCCACCTATACTTTGATTTAGCTTCCCCAAATACCTAACCAAGGAGCATGAATATGGTGGGTTCAGTCTTGGCTGAGAGAACCATTTTCCAAGGCCAGGAGAGGAACAGGGCATATGATTTCCCAGCATATTCTCCTAGCATCACTCTCCACCTCCCCAACAGCCTGTGGAGGGGCTTCATGACTCCAATTTGCAGCCAAGCCCACTGTGGCTCTGGCAGAAACTGGCAGAGGGAGGATCTCAGAACTTTCAGGGGGCAAGGCGAGGCCCGACCTCTCCGAGTCTTGTTTTGGCCCTGGCTCCTACCTGAGGTGACTGTGTTTCTACTCATCATCTCTGTGGTCACTAAGACAACGGGATGCTAAGGGTCTAAGGGTCGCCTCTCCTCGCCGAGCAACGGGGCCGGGTGAGTCACAGCACCTGGGCGGGCTGCGGGGACGAGTCCCTGAAACCCAGTCTCACCCTCTTCCACGCCAGACAGAGCAGAGGCAAGACAAGGCCGGAATGAAAGAGGAGAGACCTGTCTGTGCCCTTGGCAGGCCCCATAAGGGACACTGGGGAAAGGACTAGGAAGATCCTCTCGGTTTTCCGGCCAGCCCAGCTCCTCTACCTGCTTAGGTTCGCCTCTTCCTGCGCCCTCGGAGTTCGTCTCCGCCTGTCGCCTCCCCGCCTCCGCTCACAGCCCTAAACTGGTCGCTTGCTATTTTGAACGGATAAGCACTCTCCCCAACCTCCGAAAGAAACTGAGTCAAGGGCGCAGCCAAGGAAAGAACTGACCGCCAGGAGAGCCTCTGGGGCCAGGGGGTCGCCTTAGGCTGGCTCGCTAGCAGGGCGCGGCGGAGAGCTGCGGAGCTCAGCCGATGCTCATAGTAATCGGTCACTCTCCGGTCCAAACTATTCTGGAACCTGCGACAGCAGTCCCATCCCGCAGTGTCTTTCTACCCTGTCCCTGAGTCCTACCCTGAAGAGGCGTGGAGGCGCCGCAGTGTGGTCTGACCCATTTCGGCCAGGGGCGTAGAGAACCGCGAGCGGCCGGCTGGATGCCCGCAGGGCTTCCCCAAACCCAGGTCGGGGAGCAGCCGGGGGAGAAAGGGCGGGTGCGCCTGCGGGGAGAGGAGCCCCTGGCGCCCGGCCTGCCTGGGTGGACGGGACAGGTGTGGAGAGAGGGAGTGTATCCGATTCTCCGGTGGCAGGAGGGATCAGGTCCTTCAGCCCTAGTAAGGCGGGAAGTCCTGCCTGGAGCCTGTCCCCGCGCGCATAGGATCGCGCGCACACACCCGAGCAGGTGCCCACAAGAGTCTGCAGCCGTGAGGACAGACAGACCCAGATGTGTGCGTACGCGTGTGTGTCTCAGGGTGTGCGCGCGTGCAAGGCGAGAGGGTCTAGGCGTCCCCCGCACCCTCTCCGGGCTTCTATATTTTCCCTTCCTTTGTTCTCAAAATAGTAGGCGAGCGCGGCCGGCGCTGCCCCCAGGAGGGTGGGGGCTGTTGCGCGCTCGCCTGCGCGCGCGAAGTGAGCTGCAGGGTTACAAACAGTCTCTCCCTGCTCCCCCGGCCTGAATTAATGTGTTACTATTTCGGGCGAGCCAGTGTTTCCAGGGGAAACCTAATGACGCAATGACGTCAATGCAGGTCAGCGGCAGACTCTCCGGGAGGGCGGGCGGGCTCCCGGCTTCAGGCTCGGCGCAGTCTGCGGGCGGGAGGGCGCCGAAGAGGTGGCGAGGGCCGCGGGCGCGGGGGCGCGGGAGCCCCGGCCGAGCCGGGGGACCGGAGCGCGCCCCCTCCCAGCGTCCGAACGCGGCAACTTCCCGCGGCCCAGGACGGAGTTTCTCCGTTGCCCGTGGACCTCTAGGGAGCGGTGTGGAGGGCAAGCAAGGTAACTCCCACTCCCACCTCACCTTTATCGCGGGGAGGCAGAGGAGCCAGCAAGCCCGGATTCGCTGGGGGGGCTCCACGCGGGGCCACCCACGCACAGGTACGCGTTATTCCTCCGGGTGTCCCCCATTTGGGAGGGAGTCGCGCTCACACACTCGCATCCGCTCTCCCCTCCCGTCCTGGCACCATGACTGGGAGTTTGGGGAAAGGAGAAGGGTGTCAGAGACCTCTGCCCCCACCCCCTCCGCCCCCCTTTCCTGCCTAGGAGCTCGCTGGCTGCTCCACTTCAGAATCTTCCCTGATCTCGAACTAGAATGGGGTTTCCTACTGACGGTACCTCCCTTGGGGTCACCACCCGAGGCCTGCCAAGCAAAGCGGGAGGAACGTCCGGGCCAGACGGGCCAGAGGGACGCGAGGCAGGAGCCGAGCCTTGGCATCCTGGCGTGAGCCGGTGCCTGGGTATAGGACGCATGCACAGGACTGCTTGCGTGTGCTTGGTGTGTGCTGATTCTGGGAGCGTGCCCCGTGTGTCCACGGAGTGTGTGTGCACCCACGACGTTCACTGTTCAAGTGTCTGAGCCATAGGCATGGGAGCACTGGCCATGCATCAGTCGCGCCAGAGTGTAGGAGGTCAGCGAGGGACCCGCCCAGGTCCCGGATCTCTCCCCTGCTCGCCCCCTACAGCTAGCCCAGATTACTTTCTACTCCTAGGGGGGCAGTGGCCTGCTTTCCTACACTGGCCACAGCTTTGACGGCTGAACACTTCGCAGAGCTCAACTCGCCTTCTTGCGCCAACTCTCTTGTGCCTTTCCTTCTTCCGAGAGTGAGTAGAATAAAGAAGGTGAGGGGGGTCCGTTTTCACCTCCTGTCTCTCCCCGGGAAGCTCAAGCTCTGCCCTCCGTTTTCAGCACCGTATCTCGGACAGCTCCATGTCCGTGGGCGAGGCCTCTTTCCTGGCCTTTGCAGAGGGCCAGGCCTGAGACTGAGAGCTCCACCCTCACTGTAGTCCGGCCTTGCTAGCTTCTAACTAGCTCCAGAACCTGATCCTAGACCTTTCTTTCGGTCCCCAACACACACACACACACACACACACACACACACACACACACACACACACACACAGAGTCCTCAGCAGGTGGCCTGGAGCACCTAGGGGCAAAGCCTGCCAACAGAATCTCAGCGGTTGTTGGGAAGGCCTCACTATGTCACCACCACAACCAGCCTTTCTTCCAGGAGTGAGGGACTCTAAATAGGGCCCTGCCACAAGTTCCCCTTTCCCTGCTCAATTCATTAAATTAAGTGGAAAAAGGGTAGATTGCTCCTCCTCAAAGGCAAGTCAGATTTCAGAAAACAGAAAGGACGCCAGGATTTTCTAGATTCTAGAGATCTAACTGGTGTCCCCCGAAATGCTCTTCTAGACATTCTCATGGTCCCGTCTTTGTCTCTTTTATGTCCAAACTTCACTGGGCAGAGAATCATGGAATGAATCCCAAATACCTCTCCACCTACAGACAGAGGATTCAGATGATGTCATGTTTCTGGGGGCACTGGGTGGGATGGTATCTGGGTAAGTTTAACCAGAAATGTACCTGACCCCAGAAGGCCACAGAAGTGATTTTTGTAGTGTTGCATCTTTACACACAGACCACAATTACAGGGTTGTGGCCACCCAGGACCTCTGAACAGCTTCTATCCCACAACCCAGCACTGGTAGAATCCAAGGTACAGCAACTCAGTCTGTGACTCCCTCCACTCCTGGATTTCTTGTGTTCATAAAATACCAGCAAGACCTAGAATATTCCCATACACTTCTCTCCTTCTTGGTCAGGAATCTTTGTACTATCTTCCCAGATCTGCCAGGGCCTATGTGATACCTCAGCTGACTCAGATAAGTATGAGAAACCAAGGAGAAGTCACTTCTCCTCATCCTGTCCCACCCTATTTCAGAGACCATTGGCAAGCTGGAGACCAGCCATGAACCTTCCCACAGCGTGGGCACCAGACAACACTTCCTCCATTGACTTTCTCTTTCAGGCATTACAGATTAGGCCATCCTTGTTAAATCTGGCCCAGAAGCAGATCCTACTGTTAGCTTTGCCCTATAAAGGCCAGACCATTGGAGGAGTTTGGGAAGGAAGGTGCAGAAGCTACAGACCTAGAGCTAGCCTTGTATAGTGTCAGAAGAAAATAACCTTTTCTCTGAAGTGGCCATTGTTCTGCCTGCTGCTGAGCTACCAGAGAGAAGAGAGAAAAATCCCCCAGAATGGGGACCAGGGAAAAAGACTGCCATCTTAGTCCCCTGGCACTTGCCTCTCACAGGGTAGAAGCCTAAACCCAATTCCCATGAAATCTTTGGTTTCCATAGGTCCCAAGGGAGCCAGGAAATGGCTGTTTTCCCAGAGAAAATAACTTTTATGATAAAAAAAAGAGCAGTGTGTGATCTGGTTTAAGAGATGACAGCGTGGGCAGAACATATAACTGCAAGGAGATGTTCGTTCCCCTAAAGGACAATGGCCTCCCCAGAGTCTTACAGTCGAAATCCAGTCCTCTGGGAGTGCTAAGCAGCTGCCATCTGCCTAGCTCAGTGCCTGGCTACTTTCCAAGCTTCCCTGGCTCCCTGGCTTTCCTCTGTGCTCAGCTGGGTAACATCTGGCTATGGCCTCGGTGGAAGGCTGGCCAAGGTCAGCAGACACAGGGAGGTTTGCCCTGTGGATATGGGTCTCGTGTGTCCTCTAGTTGTACAGATCAGAGGACTCAGAGAGCTGGCTAAGGTATGGTGAGGGGTCCTACCCTGCTGCAGGAGAAAGCCCAGGTCCTGTTGTTGTCCTTGCCTAATTACAGATGTCAAGGATCGGAGGAGCATCTGGCCCCATAAGTCCCAGGATTAGTTATCAGCAGGGAGTGGACAGACCCAGCACCATTCCCAGAATAAGGGGCCAGAGTCTGTCTTCAGTCCCATGCTGACTGCTTGAGCAAGTCCTTCTGATGAACCTGTCCTTCATCGGCATGATGGGCACTTGGTGAAGCAGGGATAGCACTCACAGATTGAGAGGTTGCTTGAACAGTGTTGTATTAGCATCTGAAATCAGACCTGGTGGGTAGAGCTGGCTCATTTGTTCACTAGAATGCCTAGGTGTCCTGACAGGCTTTGCTGCCGTGGGGTCTGAGAAGGGCTGATCTAGGGCTGATGGTAATTGGTTTGCCTCTGAGCCAACTTTTCTTCTTTCCAGGGTCTCTGTCTCTTCTTATAGATGAAAGCCCAGGCTCCACCATTCAAACATCAGAGGACTCACCTTTCACTGTTGCCAGAGAGGAAACAATGTGTGGGGAACAGCTCTAGGATGGCCAAAGTTACCCAGTCCTGACCCACACTTTAGGGCTCTAGCTGGCAACTCTCCTGTCCTCAGATAGAGGACAAGGGCTGTCTACAGCAAAATAGCAATAGTGTTTCTCTTGAGGCTGTGACGCTTGGGGTGTTCCCAGCTGCAATGATCATGTAGAGGTCTTGTGATCACTTCGCTGTCCATCAGCTGGACCCCTGCGGGGTTGAGCGAAGGTCCAAGTGAGCTGGAACAAGGTCACTGTGCTGTCTTCTCTATGCAGAGTTTCCCAGGAGACGCTTAAGAGAGACTCAGTCCAGAGGTGTCCTGTGGCCAGTTTAGTTGGTGAGACCTGGAATTGCCTCACATAGGGGAGCAGGGTCCATGGGCAGCCACAGGCACAGGTTTGGCACAGACCTTAGAGCAGGCCTGTGAGGGTGACCTGGCCCCACCTCTCACATGTGACCTTGGATAAGGCACTTCACTTCCCAGCAGAGAAATAGGTGTGCATTTGCCACTACTCTTCCTATGGCAGAGTCCGCTGAGATGTGGTGGAGATAAGCGTATCATGGGGTGATGTGAGGGTCGTGGTTGCAAGAAGGCACCAGACACTCTCTCTTGCTGTCAAGGTCTTAGCCTCTCCCTGTGAACGGAAACCCAGGCACCACCATTCAGGAATAGGGAAAGGACCCCTCAACCCTGGGGGTTCAGGATTTAGACAGTTTGTTAGCCTCCATGTTCCAGCCTAACTTTTACTAAGTTACCTATTCTGGCCACTGCCTATGTACCCTCATTGGTGAAGGAAAGACCCCTGCCCTAACTTAGATGAGACAACCAAATAGACCACCCCTGGCAATGACAGATGTGGCTGGCAGCAATTTACTAGTCATATAGACAGCCTGGGGTTGGAGGACAGCAAATATTATGCAGGGCCACATGAGGACTATACTCAAGAGCTGCACCAGGGCCTGAGTAAATCAGCAGGAGTTGTAATATTCAGGCCTTATAGTAACACAAGGATGGGGTGCTCCTGGTTCCTTACGAAGCTATAATTGCCTTCTTTGTAATCTCATGGGGCATGATGGGAGTGTGAGTCAAGTTCTGTCCCCCAACAGGCATGGTGTACACTTGGGAGGCTGAGGCAAGAGGATCACCGTGAGTTGAGGCCTGTCTGGGCTACAAAGTGAGTTTAAGGCCAGTCTGAATTACATAATGAAACCCTGTCTCATAAAGACAAAAGTAAAATAAAATAAAATAAAATACCATCCCCAGCCTAGCCTCACTGCCTCAAAGAAGTGACTGGACTTTGTTGGCTAAGGTCAACTTCCTGAAGACGCTCTAGGGACAGAAAAGTGTTCTGACTTGTCATCTGGTTTCCAGAGTTCTGACTCCTTTACCTGTGCAAGTCCTCTGCCTCTAGGCCTGTCTTTCAGATACTCATTATACCTTCAAATGCTTTCTTTCCTCTCCTGTAGGGTTGCTGGATTTAGTAAATAAATGATTAGTTAAATTTTAATTGCAGACAAATACAAGCAATATTTTAATATAAGTATCTCAAAATTCTCTGTACCTAGGCCCAGACCCTTCCCATACTAGAATCTGTTCCCTCTGTCTCCAGCCTCTTTATCTTGGGGCCCAGGGTTCCTGCTGCTCCAGGGATAGGAATGTGCCAACTTGATACATTATACCAATAAGAGTAGAGATAATAATGACAGGAAACTGAGTTCTAGGCTCATGCAGCCAGGGGCAATAGCTAGATTTGAACCTAAGATTTTTGTGT